GCGGATTCAAACGGAGCACCTCGCCGCCATCGACGCCGAACGGGGCGAGGTCTTCGCTATGTGGGAGGCAGAACGCGTGGCGCTCGAGCACGAAGTCGCGGCGTACGAACGGGAGCTCAAGAAGGTGGAGAGCAACCTGGCCTCCGTCCACGAACATTACGTCGATGAATCCGTCACCATCGGTCGGCAGCTGAGGCGCGACCACGAGATCCGTGCTCTTACGCGCCATGCAATCCGTGTGCGAGACGAGGTGTCGTACATCCACGAGATGGCAGTTGCCCTTCAAGGCAACGTGTCTTTTGGGGAAGACATCAACCTCTTCTTCGAGGCCGCACATCTTGGCGATGATAGGGCGTGTACCTAAACACGCATGAAAACTACCAAGTTTTCTTCGATTTCCGACCTATACTTAGGCGCAGTGAGACTAGATTAGAGGGAATATGTTCTCCTCGGGACGGTATTCTACACTGTTTACGGTCGAAAGCCAGCTATCAACAAGTACCTTGCGGCCCAACCCAGAACCTTTAACGGGTGTCTTAGTTCAGCCTTACGGTCTACCGCTGGGCTCCGGGAGTTGGTTTACCGCCAGACTCTTTGAGTACCGAGGTGAACAAGAGGAACTACGATCTTAGCGGCTGAGCGCTACAAGCGGTAGCCTCATTAAAGATAAAGGGGTCGTTCTTCGAACTCCTACCATACGGCTGGAGAACCTCCAGCCAGAGGCCAACATTGACAAGTTCTAACCGTAAGCACCGGCAGCCGGCCAGGCTATTTATAGAAACCTGGTCTACCGGCTGGTCGTTGGTGGCTGTGCAACTCAAGCGGTAGAAGCCAGCCTGCGGTATGAACACAGAAGGAAAAGTCTCCTACCGTTGGAGCAGTCCAACGGTAAGACTATTTTCAGGCAAAGATATAAGGTGACGGGAGTCCTACGGTCAGAACCTCTTACGGTTGAACCACTTTAGAGCCAGCCGCCGGTATGGCCTATTTATAGTCAACTCGGTCTACGGTTAGCCATGGCTGTGCTACTCTACAGTAAGGACTCGCCTGCGAGAAGAACTTATGAAAAGGCTTCTACCGTTGAGATAGCTCAACGGTAAGAGTCCAATAAGACAAGATACAAGATAATGAGTTTCTACGGCGAGAAAACCTCTTACGGTCGGGCTGCCTCCTACGGTAGGAGCCGGCTGGACCGTTTGATAAGAAATCGCTGGACAGCTAAGCCGTAGCAACCGGAACAACGGGAAGCCAATGGTTGGTTGTTTCAGCGGGAGATGAACGTTCCCGTAAGGATGGTCTACCGTAGGTCTTGGACCAACGGTAAGCTGTTTGGTAGGGACCGCTTGAGATAAGAAATGGAGAAGATATACTCCAGTTAAAAACGGCCTACGGTAGGGAGCTCGGGCGGTAGAAGCGGTGAAGTCAACCGCTAGCCGTAAGGGCAATCTGGTCTAGACCGAATGATATGATTGCGGACCTACAGTAAGCGGATAAAGGCACTCACGGTTGGAAATGCTCAGCCCGCCATTGGACCGCTAACCGTAAGGCCGCCCGTAACGACAAGCACGCCATATCACGCCATTCCGTCTCAGTTCCGGTTAACTCCTTGTTGCTCCTATCGTTTGTATAAATAATAGCTACCTACACCAATGTACAGTAGTAGACTACTCCCCCCACTTTGTGGCAGGAATATAGTGCACTCAGAAAGAGATAAGAAAAGATTTGATATCTGCAATTAGATTGGATTTGAGGTGTGTACGTCCCGCGAACACCGACCGTAAGACCAACATAAGTGCAGGGGCCTAGCCAGTCCGGCTGCCCGTTGGAAACCTCGCTGTCTAGTAGTGTTAGCTGTAGATTGAGCTGTTGCTCTCTGCCGCAGTCATCGAGCTTTGCTCTGACAATAACTCTACCAGGGAATTAAGGAAAACCTCGACCTTTCGGTCTACGGTAGACTGTTCTGTGGCCGGAATACTCACCATAGCATTGCACGGTACACTTCTGGACTTTCTCTCAGACGAGTTGCCTATAGGTCGAAGTTCGAGTCCTACGGGAAACACCTTTGGGAGATAAAAATATCCTACCGTGAAAGCTAAAGCCAACCGCTGGTCTTATCGCTGAAAACCAACCATCTTGAAGGGTGATACGTACCCTACTACCCCGCACACACACACACACGAGTATTGAGATTGGAGTTGTGAGTTGATTAGATTTTGGAGTTAGGGTGTTAGTTTGAGTTATACTCGCTGCGCTCGTTAGTGCTTCACTTCTGGTTGATTTCACGGCTGCACCCCAGTGCACCGTTTCATCTGGAGGCCACCGCGAGGGGTGACAAGATCGTTGTTTAAAGCTAAGATTTGTGGACCGCTACTTTCCAACTACGAATCCATCTTGCGATAAACCGTCCAACAAAGATTTGAAAACCCATACGCCTAACCGGTGTCAAAAACAAGTCGAAAGACCCCTCCCGTCCGTTGAGCCTTGCTCCAGACAAACCCCAGCACGAGATACTCCCGTATAAGATCTTGCTCGACGTGGCAGACCCAGCTGCTAGTTCAACTTCAGCCTATTCCACTTGGGTAAAACCCACGGCTAGGACTACAAGGAACAGCCAACGGGCAGCTTCAGAAAGTGAATCAGACAGTTCGAGTTACCGTACCGCTGCAGACCTCGCAAGAGACTCAGCCGCCAACGTCACTAGACAACGGCAAGAGGCCCGTAAAGCCCAATGGTCCGGGCCCTGTGCCCCCTTCTTCCTCCGAGCAGCAAAGTTCTGCCTCGGGTTCCACTACCATCCCGGGGTCTAGGGCGTCGGGCCTGCTATCTCTGGTAGGAACCCATCTTCCTAGGTATCCCCACCTCCCAACTCCTGGAACCCAACACGTTTGACGTTGTGAACCTGACCGCAGATGCGGAGATGATGGTCGCCTTTTTTGAGGACCACCCAGAGGCCAACGAGACTGATTACTTTGTCTATATGTCGGGCCTCCTGGGCATCGTCCACAAGGCAGTAAAGCATCGGCGGGGTCTGGGGAAGGAGAAAGGGAAGGCACTGGGGTCTTCGAAACGTGAGAAGGGGAAGTAATTTCGTGTCTGCCGGGGTGTCGTCGCGTTTCGCGCCGTGCGCACCGCCCCGCTTGTATTTCGTGGTTTACTGTTTCATGTTTTCGAACATATCAATTTTTTCCTTGGTTTCACGTGATCGTGTTCGCCCGTCCAGGCCCCGATTTGAGAGATAAAAGATTGGAGTGAGATTTGATTTCAGATAAAGATAAGATAATGCCACGGGTATAGAGTGAGTCGTGACGCTGGTCGCGGGTATCTCCTTCGGGTTTCCTACTCATCCACTTTCGGCAGTCGGGGTGTTAGAGACCCCGGGTTTTATTTCCTCGGTCTCCACCCCCCACCGTACTTCTATTTGGGCCCCTGAGTCCAAGTAGACTTCGCGGGGTGGGATGTCGGGATCATGAACGCGTGCATGGGCCAAAATCGCCTCGTCGGCCCATGCTGGCACCGATATGTTGTCATTATTCCTTTCTGGACCCCACACTGCAGCAGGGTTTCTTCTTGGTCGAAGGTGGGTTCGCACCGAGCAACGAGCGGGGTATGCCACAGGTTCGGAGATGCGCGCTAGCCACACCCCGTTCCGGTGGGTAATTTACCGTGTTCTGCACAGTACGGGGTTATTGTACTGCGGGCGTAAACCCCGTTGGTACGCTCCTCTGCCGATAGGGCGCTGGTGGTACCACACCACCGCTACTCCCAATACCCCGATGATCAGTGTCATGTACACCCCAGCTTCGAAGAGCTGCTGTAATACCTTCATCACATCTATTCCTTCTAGTGTCCCCATAATCATACAAACTACTGGAACTGCCGCGGTTGCAGTACGTCGAACCATTGGGATCTTTGCATGTGTGTGTTATGTTGGAGTAGTGGTTCCCTCCGCGAGTGGACCCAGTCACGCTTTCTCTTCGTGCACGGTTTATTTGGTGTTCACGAGGGCCTTTCGCGCTTCGTGGATACTGTCCACCAGATGTCGGGGTATGCACGAGTCTAGACCCCGAGATGCGTGAAGAGCCGTTCACCGGATGTCGGGGTATGAGAAGTTACACTCCGGGGTACAAGGAAGTCGTCCTTCGTAGCGCGGGGTGTGGATAGAATTAGACCCCAGAGGGAATGAGAGCCGAGGGGGTCTAAAGCGAGAACGCAAGCCAGTATCAAGCCAAAGTGGGCCTGAGATTAGACGAGGTAAAATCTACTGTACAGGAGATTCTACTACTGATTAAAATAAATATACTTGGTGATTGTGGTTTCCTAGTAACTAATCACTACGCAGGGTTAATGCGACAGTTTGTTCGGCGTAGAGGGGGTTTCGATGCCGATCGAAACCTCCTCGTTGAATAACTTTGATCAGAATTTGAAAAGCGCTGCCGTCCGTGCCGTGCCGATCCGAGTATGCCGAGTTGTGATCCGGGCGTGATCATGACAGTAAACCACCAACTTGAAGCAACTTAAACGATGTACACAGGTTGATCTGAGATAGTTGTTGCCAAGCCCGCGACGACAACCGCCAGTGTCTCAAATTGAAAGAACGAGGGTCCATAAGATAGAAAGAAGGAGTCATACAACCTTCACAGGGCGGAGAAAATGGATGAAGCTCGAACGAATTGAACTTTAAAATGGCCGAACTTGAGTCCAGGAAGCGATTTGTGCCGCTTTCTCCTTGATTCAGCCGGGATTGTGCTGGATTTATATTGAGGTATTCATCCGTGAGACCAAGAGGACAGATTGTGTGCAACAAGTCGAAGTAGGTCGGAACGAAATTCCGATCGATCATGATGTGGGGATTCAAAGCCGCATGTGATTTGATGGGATCATTTGGTTCGTTGCTCTCTCCCTTCACACCGCGAACTCGTCTCCACCTTCCACTAGGCCTTAAGGCTCAAGCGCTCAAGCTCAAGGCTCACTCTATATCGGTATTGGTCATTACAAGATCACACCTGATAGCACATGGTGTGCACCTGCCTTTCTTAGCAACACAACACAGTATGCCGACAGGAGTTCCCCGTTCGATTCGGGGTTGGGTGATACAACATTCCAAAGGTTTCTTTTTTTCCCTTTCCAAGTCATCATCTTTCCAAGAGCCGGTCTGGAATCTCTTTTGCTCTGCATTGACAAACTTGTGTTTAAATCAAGTTCACTAGCTCTTTTCTTTTCAAACTCAAGTGGTTCCATGATGACCAGTTCTGCTCATGCCTATTGATGTTTTAAACAGGTAGGAGAACACCCGATAGCACATGGTGTGCACCTGTGTTCCTTAAATGTTCTGAAAAAGTCTGTAGGCAGGAGGTCCCTGTTCAATTCGGGGTCGGGTGATGCGCTATTGGCTGGAATTCTTTTCCTCCCTGTCTAATTATTACAATTGACCCATTCTCCGGAGAGCTAATTCCTTCTCTTTGGCATTAGCATACTCATTATTCTCACTTCCATTGGTATGCCGTTCCACACACCCTACCCAGCCGTCCAACCAATCTCACAGGTAATTTTGTGCACCGATTCAACTTGAAAATTAGGTATGCACACACCTGATAGCACATGGTGTGCACTTGCATTCCTTCACAGCAGACGGATGATGTAGGTACGAGGTCCCGTTCGATTCGGGGTCGGGTGATACATCATTGCCGTATATTTTTTCCGTTTCGAGGTCATCATCCAAGAGCCGGTTTCTCTTGCTCTGCATTGGCAAACTCGTGTTACAATTAAGCTCACTTTGGCTCTTTACTTTTTAAACCCAGGTGATTTTATGTTCAACCATTTTTTACTCACACCTATCTAGCTCTCAAAATAGGTAAGAGAACACACTTCTTGATCTTGGCTCACACTTATCGAGGTTTCAAACGAAAAGGAGAACACCCGATAACACATGGTGTATGGCACCTGCCCCCGTCCTGCGTCGACATTGAGGTGTAGGTAGGAGGCCCCTGTTCAATTCGGGGTCGGGCAATTTGATTTTTTCTATCTTTTCCTTTCTGTGTTCCCCTTTGTTATTTATCCTGCCTCAGCTCTCAAGCAGCATACTCAATGACATCAATATTTTCATCCGCTTGGGGTGAGCTTCTGTCTTTTCAACCATACTCACAATTATATTTTTGCTCATACTTTCCTACCCCTCAAAGGAGGGAAGAGAACACCTGATGGCACGGTGTACACCTGTCTTTCCTTTGTTTATGTAGAGGGAATTAGGTAGGCAAGAGCTCCCCGTTCAATTCAGGGTTGGGTGATGCTTGGGTATGTGAGGGCTTTTTACCCCCCTCCAACCAATGCTTCCTCTTTCTGCAAAATATCTTTTTCGTTGCAATGGTCAACCACCTTTTCATATTGAAAGGCCTCGGATTCACAAGTCGTGGCAATGTTAAGGAAGCTGAGTGAATTCACAGCAAAGCTAACCTCAGCTGTGCTGCTCAATTTTATGGAGGGGAAAGGCTTCTTCGAGTTCTCAGTTGAATGCTGGGGGGATGATCCCGGTCAAGGTGAGGTGAGTGGGGGTTGCAACGGAAAAGAAATTGGGTTGAATTGAAGCTTGAGTTGAGTTCAATGGTTGGATGTCGAGTTGCGGCACAGTACTGAGAGTGATGGAGGTGAGTAAGAGGGGAAAATTGACTGAATGAGAGTACTCATGAGGCAGTAATTGAACCCAAGCCATCAAAGCAGGTCGAAGTTGAATTGGTGTTCGATTGAACTTGGATTTGAAAGTAATGAATGTAATGAAATTTCCAAGCAAACCTCACCAAGATTATATGGGTAGTTGAACCCCGAGTTCTGTTGGTTGCAATTCGAATTTAACTTGCATAGATCCTGAGGTACAGTTCAACGATGCATGACACAAATAAATAAAATGAAGACTCACCGAAAGTTGGGATACATGATTTAAGTAGTGTTGAGGTTGAAGCCAAGTATCAGAAGAACGAACCTATAATTAATGAAGGTCAGTTGAACACTTAGTGGAGCTAAACTTGAACCATGCTTACGTTGAACCAAGTTGAGTTGGATTGTGTCCGAGCCCCAAGGTACCGGTCAACTTGACCACTTCAGAATCGAATCTACGAAGCAATAACAATTGATCACACCATAGAAGGACTGGTCAAGGATGAAAGCAACATACCTCGAATCGACGTACTACGGGAAACTCAAGGTTGAATCCAACCCCAAGATGTGCTACAAGTAATTCTTAGGATGAGGTGACTTACAATGTGAAACTTTGCATTTCAAATCAATTTCAGATGAACTGAAGGCCAATATTATTCAACAAATTTCAGTTCCGACATTAGTAGCAGTGAAACGGCGAGAATAAGAGCTAATTTCAGTGCAGTAGATTTCTTTTTGGTGTTTAGAATTACACCTACCGTGACTTTAAATTTGCAGGTGTGTTTCCACAGTGAGCCTCTTACATTGTAACAGCTAAACAAACAATATGTGTTTGCCAGTTTACCACTATCTCGAAGTCCTTATATAGGTGTGTGATTGATTAAAGATATCAAATCAATTATCCACTTTGGTGTAGTGTTCCGGAACGTGTCTCGGACCTGCTTAAATGTAGTACCGCCAACTGTAGTATGTAAATACATGTCTATGCAACTCATAAGAAGAGTGGTCACATAAAGAAGAGAGATAAAAGAACCTTTATAAGTTAGCATTCTAAAGAGAGGTGGGACGTGGAGAGTGATAGATTTGCTGCCAGTGAGTGCCGAGACTACGGGTACGAAGTTTGAGACGGGTCTGACTCTTGTTAGAGATAAGATGGAGGCAAGGGGGGAAGAAAAGGGTATCTTGAAGCTCAGGGGGGTACCAAAACAAGTGAATGTGGAGTTGTCCACGTTGCACCATCCAGCCATCCTTGTTGTGGCCCTGTACGTTGGTCACCTCAGCGCCCGTTGTCACGTCCCAAATCCGCACGGTCTTGTCGTCTGAGCCAGACACAACACGTGTACTGTCGGGCAAGAATGCCACAGAGTTGACCCCGGAGGTGTGGCCCTCCATCTTGGTCACCGCAGTGCCCGTCGTCGCCTCCCAAATCCGCACGGTCTTGTCGTCTGAGCCAGACACCACACATGCACCATTGAGCGAGAATGCCACAGAGCGGACCCAGTCGCTGTGGCCCTCCATTTTGGTCACCTCAGCACCCGTTGTCGTGTCCCAAATCCGCACGGTCTTGTCTTCTGAGCCAGACACGACATGTGTGCCGTCGGGCGAGAAGGCCACAGAGCGGACCCCAGTCCTGTGGCCCTCCATCTTTTTCACCTTGGTGCCCGTTGTCGCCTCCCAAATCCGCACGGTCTTGTCATCTGAGCCAGACACAACACGTGCACCGTCGGGTGAGAATGCCACAGAGCGGACCCCGTTGCTGTGGCCCTCCATCTTGGTCACCTCAGCGCCCGTTGTCGCATGCCAAATTCGCACAGTCTTGTCGTCTAAGCCACACACCACATGTGCACTGTCGGGTGAGAATGCTACAGAGCGTACCTTGCAGTGGCACTCCATCTTGGTCACCTCAGTGCCCGTTGTCAAATCCCAAATCCGCATGGTCTGGTCATCTGAGCCAGACACCACACGTGCACTGTTGGGCGAGAATGCCACAGAGTTGACCCAGTTGCTGTGGCCCTTCATCTTGGTCACTTCAGCGCCTGATGTCGCGTCCCAAATCCGCACGGTATTGTCACCTGAGCCAGATACCACATGTGCACCATCGGGCGAGAATGCCACAGAGCTAACCTCGTTGTGGTGGCCCTCCATTTGGGTCACCTCAGTGCCTGTTGACGCGTCCCAAATCCGCACAGTCTGGTCATCTGAGCCAGACACCACATGTGCACCGTCAGGTGAGAATGCCACAGAGCTGACCCCATTGCTGTGGCCCTCCATCTTGGTCACCTCAGCGCCCGTTGTCGCGTCCCAAATCTGCACGGTCTGGTTGTTTAAGCCAGACACCACACGTGCACCGTCGGGTGAGAATGCCACAGAGCGAACCCCGTTGCTGTGGCCCTCCATCTTGGTCACCTCGGTGCCCGTCATTGCATCCCAAATCCGCACAGTCTCGTCGTCTGAGCCAGACACCACACGTGCACCGCCGGGTGAGAATGCCACAGAGTGGACCCTGTTGCTGTGGCCCTCCATCTTGGTCACCTCAGCACCCGTTGTCGCATCCCAAATCCGCACAGTCTCGTCACCTGAGCCAGACACCACATGTGCACCGTCAGGTGAGAATGCCACAGAATGGACCCCGTTCCTGTGGCCCTCCATCTTGGTCACCTCGGCGCCTGTTGTCACGTCCCAAATCCGCACGGTCTCGTCGCCTGAGCCGGACACCACACATGCACCGTTGGGCGAGAATGCCACAGAGCTGACCCAGTTGCTGTGGCCCTCCATCTTGGTCACCTCAGCGCCTGATGTCGCGTCCCAAATCCGCACGGTCTTGTCACCTGAGCCAGATACCACATGTGCACCATCGGGCGAGAATGCCACAGAACTCACCCAGTTGCTATGGCCCTCCATCTTGGTCACCTCAGCACCTGTTGTCGCATCCCAAATCCGCACGGTCTTGTCATCTGAGCCAGACACAACATGTGCACCGTCGGGCGAGAATGCCACAGAGCTGACCCAGTCGCTGTGGCCCACGATGTTCATTAACATCCGGTGCATGGAGATGCCCTTGCATTTAAGAGAGGGTAGCCTGGGGAAGTGCTCTCGCCAACTTGTCAAAGTCCCAGCAGTGGTCAAGGCCAATTCTGTTGCAAGACTACTGACATAGAGATGTGGTGTGGATAGGGCAGCCTGGCCCCGGACAAATGAAGCCCAGAGTCTCTGCCCAGCAGCCATGTACTCGTTGAGCTCCACATTTGGAACCTAATTGCTTGTGAAAACACAGCACTGGAAATATGGTCAATTTACATACCTGAAATGCCCAGGTGCGAGCCAGGTGTGTTGCAAGACGGCAGTCCAACTTGAGCAAGTTCATTACTTCCATCCAGAAGAGTACTTTCAACTTGTAAAAGTCGAGTAGTAGGTCTGAAAGCTGCTGCACATCCTCCTGGTAATCCTGTCTCACTGATGCAAGGTGCATGGCCCAATGTTGACAAGCATAGCGAAGCTCGGGTTTGATGTTGGTCTCCACCCGCTCTGACAAGTGCTTGTCTTCCTCATCAAGAAGAAAAGATGATTGAAGGTTGCACATATTGAAATGCAAGGACTTGTTCATAATGTGAATACAGGTGCTTGTCCAGTTCGGAAAGTAAGACCTGGCTTTGTTTGCCAGCTTGGGCGAGCGACCTGGGTCCAGGATAAAGTCGGGGAAGGACTTGTGGAATGTGTAGATGCATTTGTCA